AGAAATGATACATTTACCCAACTCAAACTGTCCCCGGAGCCTCGGCCAAAACAGCTGTTAGAGCGCACTACCTACCGGCATGAAGTGTCTTCCTCTCATTACGCCTCGCCTTCTTTATTTTACTGCCAAGGCTTTATCTGTGTGATAAAATAACCATAAAATGATCATTCTTTCTTTCCTGAAATACACTTTCTCAGCTTGAAATGAGAAAGATCACCTGCCCCTGCTCTTCCACTTAGGCCTTTTTTTAATGTATGTATACTTTGGTCATTTTCTCTTGAAGGGCTGTAGATTTAACTTTAGTAATTAGTGCACTCTTGCTTTCCTACAGTGGAACTCCAATTTGAACTGAAATTTCAATCATTGTTTCTATAGTTTAAATTCCAGAGAGTCTCCAAAAGAGGTAACCCAAGAGGGGTCACCAAGGAACTCAGAACAACATCCAAAGCTTTTCTTTCCTCACTTGCCTAATGTGTCTGCATAAACCTCAGAAAGTACTTAGCTGCACCCCTGTAGAATAATCCACCTTAAAGTAAAAATACTGTCTGAATGTTTATCCTGTCAGCATGATGGGGTGCATTCACACCAGTCCTGTTTAGTCCACTTTAGTCAAGCAGCAGTCTGGTTTGTTTGGGGAGGTGTGAATGACTTACTGAACTCTGATTCTACCAAAAAAGGGAACTCTGGCCCGCTTAAAAACCTATGTTTTGGTTCAATTAAAGTGAACTCTATCTCAGTTTGGATTCACTTGGCATTCATATGTGAATGCCAAGTGAACCAGAGACCGCTCCAAAAGCAGGAAGCAAACTATAGCGCAGGGCATTCTGGGTCAATGGAACCAAAACAAAGGCAAGAGTTTAACGCTAGCAGGACAAACGAGAAATCCTACAACTGCTCAATTGTGATTGTGCTCCATTTTTGTGCTTTGTGAAGAAGGAAGTTGTCTTCCTGTCGTCTTTGGAGGTTTGCTTGTTGTTTCCTTCAGTAGTTCTTGGTGCTGCTCCTCTACAGGCCTCTACAAGCGCCTCTACTGTGCAGGCCCTGTTTTACTCAACCAAAACAGGGCCTGCACACACAAAGAAGAGGAGCTTTATTGAGGGGGGAAAGGGGCAGATTTTTCAATTAGTTTGAATCATTTGGCACAATGCAGTATGAAAGTGAACCACACCAGCTGAAAATATTAGAAATGTTGCAATTTCTAACATAGAACTGGGTCTATGAGACTATCGGGTGTGAAAACACTCTTTAATGCAATTAAAAAAATATTACGTTGGTTTAGCACTGACTTGTTGATGCACTTTGTCACCTTTGTTCCTTTTATTAACTAACCGCACAGCTGGAAAATCCATAACTAGGCGTAATGCTGGTTTTTGCTCATCCAGTTCGTCTCAGCGTAAACCCCTGCACACACAAAGAAGAGGAGCTTTGTTGAACTGGCATGTGAAATAAGAAATATGGAGTCTCTTTAAAGTCCGTCTGTTAGAATCAAAGGTGAAATAACATTCCTCACATAACTTCATGACTCTACCTTGAAGATTAATGTGTTTGTGAAGAGATTGCAAGAGAATAGCAAGTCCTCTCTTGTGATAGAAGTTATCCAATCTTGGGAGCATTTCCACAGAACCCGAAGCCATTTTTTCTTTCCCAATCCAACCTCTTCCCTTTTCTCTGGTGGTGCCTCATTCGAGTAACAATGTTCTATTGTTTCAACTCAAGACTTTCGGTGTGTGGAGTCATGATGTGTAATCCTAGTGAATGTGAGGATCGTATCAGCTTGGGTCTTAAGGGCTTTCAAGAGACTGCCACTTAGACGGTGGGTTATGTGCCAGGGTCTGGCGGTCTCGACGGCTAGTAGTTTGACTGGTAAAAAAGCCATTATTCATAGTAAGATAGAGAAGGCAGACAGGGTGAAAGGAGAGGCGAGGAGTGGATAGATGGCGGACAAAGATGGAGAAGGGAGATGTTTTACAGCTGACAGGCATGGGCAGGTTCAAAATGTGACAAAATGTTTACTCTGGCTGCCTCGACTTTATGCCTTTAACTTTTTGCAATGTGTGGGTGGTCCCTTCAGCGATGCACACAACAGTTACACCTCTTGGTTGCAGTAAAGACCCTTTCTCTGGGGACTCAGGTGATTCCTCAAAGGGACAGTCGTATGCATTGCATTTTAATAACAGTTCATTTTATCGCTCTATTTTATAGCAAATTCAGTACAATCCAATCACATCGCCATATTCAATGTTCAGATCATATTACTTGGAGTTAGTCAAATTCGGTTGGTCATGCAATAAAGCCCAGCTAATTACACTGAATGGTGACTTTTGGTAGCACTGAGCCAGGTGAACTTTCTATGGGGAAGAAAATGGAGCTAACCCAAAGTTAATAGCTGCAATAATTAGGAACAATACATATATTATAACGATAAAAAGTTTTTTAAATGGTTTTATTCCCTCTCCCCTTGTTTATTACTCGATAATACTTTACAACATGAATCTCAAATCAACTTACAATGTATTTGTTGCGTCCATCTGTTGATAAATGACAGGTCTTTAAGTCATTTTTTAAAACTGTGCACATTGAGCAAACAGGCTTGCACCTCAGTTGCATAAATCAAACATTATGTGTAATAATAAGCCCAAATTTATATTTTTTGCGTGCTCGCATTGCTAATACGTTCTCCCTCTCTGGCCGTTTGGCGGTTTATGGTAAGCGTGCGATGAGGACGGCGAGGTCCTGTCAGGTTTGGTGGTTGTTGTTCTCATCTAGTCTCTTGATTACGGTGGTGTGACTGGCCGTTTCCTACCCTCATCGTTTTCACAAATAACTCCAAATGCAGAGCTAAACATAGACTCGTCGCTCTATTTATTGCGTCTCTTAAGACTAGGGTAAAGCCGTACGGAGGCAAGGTTTTTGTTTACTCTACAGGCTCGCGTAAATAGGGTTGACGATGCAATACGGGGGGTGAGGTGGGCGAGAGTCTGCAGGTGCTTTTCACATGCATGCATCTGTTTCTGGTCATTAGTATGTGCAAGCACAAAGTCTATAACGCCTCTCCTACGTGCCTGTTTGCATATATACCTAGGTGGCAATGTCTAATGTGGGACCACAAATGGGAAGATATGGAGGCATAACTCGCAGCATACAGGAAGCTGAGAAGGAAAACAAAGTTTAGCCAAGCTCTGACACGTCTGTAAACAACACGGGAAAAAGTTTTGGAGCAGAGACGGGAGGACAGAAAGAGGGAGGGGACAACTAGGAGGGAAGGAGGAACAAGCAGGCATTTGCTTTTTTCTGTCAAATGATTCCAGCTTTGCGAGACATTGTCGCTTTGCATTTTTGCTCGGACAAACAAGTTACTGGTATGGTGTGAGGGGCAAAAACAAAAGACGTTGGAGGCTAATTCAAGGTATGATGCAGCTCCTTCATGGCTTAAGTCTGTTTTAAGAATCTTATTCTCAGCACCGTTGGGATTTATTTTTTTTTTATTTTTTTTTTGCTACACATTATTAAAATTGGTGTTAAGCCGCAGCCTACATGTAGCCCGCCGGTTATAGTTTGCTCCATTCCAGTTAGTCTTTTCATAAGAATCATAGATATTATGGAAAGCTCAATGGCTCCTGGGTGGTCTCAGGACTCACAGCCAGTCGTGTACCAAGTCAGTTTTTTTTTTTTTTTCTTTCTTTAGCTTTACTCCAAACTGATGATGTTAACATCCTGTCTCGGCTTCATCTTCTCTCTCTCTCTCTCTCTCTCTCTCTCTCCATCTCCCTTGTTTTTGTGCTCAGTTGTATGCTTTTTTTTTTCTTCCTTTTTTTTAGGTTAGCTCCTCAGCTTGCTGACGACTAATGAGAGCTGTGTGTGCAAAATTATAACCCCATTGAGAGAGGTAGCAATTAAAGTTGCACATCGTGCTGTTTAAGTCCAGTGTAGTATTTAAACATGAAATGGAAGCACTATCTGGGCTGAATTGAAAACAACTCTGGCAAATGCGTGTAAAAAGCCTTTAAAATAAATGTAAAATATCCATATTTTATTTTAGTAATGCATTGCTGTTAATGGATTCCTTCTCTTTTCCCTTTAAATGAACTTAGCATAGCAAACATGCTAATTTGACTTAGCGTCTAGCGGACTCGGTGGCTTCCTTTAAAGACCAACTAAAAACATATTTTAAAATGTGTCTTTGCTTCTATTTTTGTGCATTTAATTAGTTTTTTTAAGCGTTTGTAGTTTTTGTCTTTAATGGTGCTGCATATATGAAGTTATTGTTGATCTTTTTAAGTCAGGAAATAGCTACAAGAAAATACATGCAATCCCACGGCCTGTCACAATAATAAATTTAGCTGGATTATAACTTGTGAAATGATTGTGATAATCAATGATGTTGTTTTGAGACTACTTTCTACTCAAATAAATGTAATGGCATAATGATGCAAGAAAACGTTCTTAGAGGTCAATAAAATGTTAATTTTAATGAATGTTTAATACATTTTAAATATCCAAAATAAATAAAGAAAACAACCGAAATGACAAATAAATTATGAAGAATTTGTAAGCAGAATTGTTGCTGTACAAACATGAGACCGATGTGAGACTGAAGTTTTGTCATCCAGTTTTTGGAAGAAAGTGAGAGAAAAATGATAAAAATGGAAATTATTGAACTTTTTTAAATTCATCATGTGATTAATTGATTTATTGCTTAATGCAACAGGCATGGTGATATCTACAATCTTTTTTTCTAAGTTTCCATAACAACAATCAGGCATTTTTTTTACATGGGTAACTGCAATAGAACAATAGTTGGAGCAGAACCACGTCCAAAACATACGGGACACTGACTGGAGCTGTGGCCCCCTGCTGTTGAGGGTTTTTTTTACGTCTTTTTTCTTTTTCCAGTGGTGCCAATAAATGAGGTCAGAGCTGTAAATGAATGCTTTTCCATCCTGCTTCCTGGCCAGAAAGCGAGCAAATGAACATATCTGTGTTTGATGATGTCTCCGCAGAGCACCATCATGGAGGACATGGACTTTGAGCGGCGCCGGGAGCTGAGGAGGCAGAAGCGGGAGGAGATGCGCCTGGAGGCTGAACGGTGAGACGCGTCCCGGGTTGTCTCTTTTAATATATGTATTTTTATTCAGGCGTTTCTCCGTGGGCTTAAAGAACACCTGCGCCTCAGAGGTGAATCTGCTGCTAAGGATTTTTTTTTTTTTTTAATGGATGTGGAAGCAGTTTCTTTTGTGCGACGATTCCCTGGTTGTTAATTCTCTGCACACCACCTCTGATGCTCACGCCAAGTTAGGGGAGGACGTTAGCCAGGAGCCGGGTCTTTTAAAAACATCACTCAGCAGATATTGGCTTTCCCTAAAGCAGACAGGAAGAAGAAAGGCTTGATAAGAAATCTGATACGCTCTGTGATGACCTTTAATGTTCAATCGTGCCCTGCCTCCCTGTTTCCAATTTTCTCTCCCAGATACTATGGCCTTTTGAACCCTCTTTTATTTAGTGGAAGAAACTGATTAAACTAAAGTTGGCTTCTGCAAATTGATTCAGCCGCAACCCGCTAAAGTGGACTAATCAAAACGATAGTTAAAAGGCGTTTTTTATTGCGAGGGTTTTATACAGAGTGCGACAAGAAAGCGTTTAGACTCACTTTTTTTTTTTTTTTTTAGTTTTCTAAAAGCCCTCTTCATCTTTAGAGCTAAGGAAGAGTCTGATTTGGATGCAGATAACCATCCAAGGTCACTTGCTGCTTAGAAGCCTTTATATTAGAACCAGCATCACTTATGGAAAACAAAGTGACACCGGGTTGAACTCTGCAGAACGCTTAGATGGTTTTTCTCTGAAAATTCGTTCTGAGACATTATGAATATGCGAGTTGTTTTTTTTTAGTAAAGAGTGAGGCCAGCTGCTCAAGGTGAAATTGTTTATGTGCAAAGGAAAATCTGCAGTACACTTGAGGTAACATGTAAGGCACAGTCATTTCAAATTGGTGTTAAGATTAAATCTGCTTTGCACCTGATAAAATGTAATGTTTTGGTATTGCTTTGAATTTAGGGCTAAATTTTTAAAACTAAATTTAAATGTGACCAAGGCTGCTTTACTGCTTTAATAATGGTCTTTGGCCGTTTAAGTCTGCAAAAGAACTACTTCCTCTATTGCTTCAAAATAAGAGTCACAAGTGTAGATTAAAGGATGTCAAGCTTATATCCGGTGCAAAACAATGCTGTGAATTTAAACAACAACTAGATATGGCCTTTATGATGGACTTCACTTAAACGAAAACACGTGATCAACACTTTTAGTTCTCCACAGAGACTAAATACTGCATTGCTGACATGCTAGTTGCTAACACTGTGCCAATTATCTGATAACCTAATTTTTCATATTTAGGTTTTAAAAATCTTTCTGTGGATGGAAAAGTCTGTTTCATGCAACCTTTGAGGTTCTTAAAAAAAAGTGTCAGTTAACTTTCTGCCTACCAACATGGACAGAGTGATGTCCTACTATTTTAAATTACTTTTTAAAAATGACTTGAGCGCTTGTAAACTTTAGCAATCAGATATCAAACAAATTATCCTGGGAAAGCATGTCGTCGCGGTAAGATGGGCTTCTTATGTATGATTACAGTCGTCAAGGCTTCTGCACTTGGTTTTCTGCCTGTTTTCATTTGGACAGCTGTGTATAAAAGCCAGGTGTTTTAACCTCTATCAGCAATTGCTAATTTAGTTGTTGCATAAGAGGATAAAATATGTCTGAATCAAACTATGTTGATATTGGATTTTCTAGAGACACGGTGCGCTTGTGTTTGGTTTTCCTCGGCGAAGGTAAGTGGGGATCGCTCTGGAAGCCGAAAACGATGGCGAGGATAGCACTCCTCATTCAATTATAGGTTTTTAGATTCAAGATCTCTACAACCACTTTTTGTCTGTTATGCAGAAGTAATGTCTTGAGGGCCTCTTTTAATTTCCACCTCTTAGACTTTCATGCCTCATTTCCTCAGATGCACTCTTAATAGCTGATTTAAGTGAAGCTTAATGGTTTCACATCTCCCTGCCCCCCTTCTCACAGTCCACTGCTTAGAATTATTTATACATTTTTCAAGTGTTTATGTTTATAGAGGAGATGGAGTTGGACAGAAAAGCAGACTAAAAGAAAAGGCAACGGAAGAGATCAAAAGGGTCAACTGTGAGAAAACGTTGAAGCTTTTTGGGAATTCATTTATACTTTGTCCATGATTTTATGTATCAGGCAACACAGATCTCTTGTTGGTGTTTTTTCTGACAATACATTAAAGCAAGCCATATTTATAGTGTTGTTGTAAAGTATTTCCCTCTTACTTAGTTCAGCAGATTTGTCTTGGATCATCAAACTAATCTTATTATTCCACAGTGTTAACAAAAATGCAGTTATCAAATGATTTCTTTTATTAAGAGGTGGAAAAAAGCTGTACTTAACCTCGCCCTGTGTGGAAATTTAGCCACACGCTAAGGCTATCCCTGTTAGATCAGGGAATCGGGAAATTATATGACAACATGAGGTAGGAGAAAAGATGCCAAAAAGCAGCTCATCAGGTCCCAATTTAAAGAATTCATGAGCAGGTAAGAAATGGATATTGACATCTATTGCATGTCTGGAAAGCGTTAGAAAGCATTTTATTTTAAGGCTTTATGGCTGAAATAAACCACAGCAGGAGGCAAGAATAGGGGAAAAAATGGACGAGTGACGAACCATCCAAGGAGATGCTAGGCTGCCTAAATTATTCCCAGAGCACATCAAGGGACTCATTCAGGAGGTCAAAACAGAACCAAGTACGACGTCGAGAGCAAGATCGGATCGGTGTTTGTGGGTAGACATGCAGGGCGATAACCGCACCTGAAAACAAAAAAAAAAAAGAATGTAAACCCTCATCTTGATCTTTATCTTGATCTTGATGAGCTCCAAGACTTTCGATGACATCTTGAATGAACTGACTAGACAGAAGCAAAACATTTTGGAAAGTGTGTGTCCCCGTTGCATTTGGCATGAAATTACACACTTTCAAAGAACCACAAACGGTGGAAGGCCGGATTTTTATCCGATTGAGGTGCTGTAGCAGAAACTTGAACAGGCATTTTATTCTGGAAGATTAAAAGGTAGAGTTTCTCCTCAGAGATCTAAACGGCCACTGCCAGTCTTTCCAAACCCTAGATGCCAGTTGTTTCTCTGAAGGATGGCACAAACAGTTATTATCTTTTTTTCCACCTGAAATAAATTAAATAATTATTTGAAAACTGTATTTTCTTTTCTATTTACTCAGGGAATTGGTACCATTTGGAATAAAATTGGTTTGATGATGACAAAAGGTAAAAACAAATCAGTAGGGAGGCATTTCAGCTCTGAGTTTCTTTGAGGAAGAATGTGGGGCCTGTAGGGATGCTAAATTCCTGGCTATTATGTGTTTACTGGCCAGCTCTCCATTTACTACATGCTTGGTCTCTGCTATTGTCTGTGCGGTAGAGTGTGAGTGGTAGTGTGGTCAGTGGGTGTTTGCATGCTGCACTCGATCATGTTGTGCTTTGTGTGGGGCGAGTTCCTGCGTGGAGTAGGTTTTCACTCTGCGTGTTTCACCTCCAGAGGTGATGAAAGCTTGACAAGCTGCGTTCAAGATTTTTTTTTATTTTTTATGTTGAATCCATGTTTGGTTATGTATGGCGTGGAAGACAGGCAGCCAAGTCTTCCCTGTTCTGTTTCGCATCAGCCTCCGTTGGTCGTATGGAAGTCGTTGCTGAGACAGAGGTGCACGGAGGGCTTTCATTTACTTCTCAGGTTTATTCAATAAAGCCACAGACGTCCGCATATTATTCCTCAAAGCTTTCTCACACGCTCGTGTTCTTCAATTCCCCAATCAATGTTACTCATCAGTGCCGGAGTATGTTTCCCTTCAGCGAGAAACACTCGCACAGGAATGTCTCCAAAGAGCTCATAGACATGGAATTTTCTCATTCGATTCTGAAACCATGCAGCTTTGACTGAAACTGATCTTTCTTTGTGTAGAAGCATACGCGTGTCAATAAAAAGTTAATAATCGTCAATTTAAGTGTACAAGCTTTTCTGGAGTCTGGTAGAATTTTAACTTTGCTGTTCAGACAGCTACTATGTGATGTGTTTAGATGTATAATTTTTTTAATAAAGCTGTTCATTTTCTGATTACATATTCTGCTGTAACATTTGCATGTTACAGGTTTAACATACACGTTAAACCTGTTTTTAACAAAAAAAATTGGTGAAAACCACAAAACTACTTGTTTTTCATTTTTCAACATGTTTAGCTAGCAAAGCTACCTGTTAGCTTTGTGCTAACAAGTCAGCTAATCATCTATCTTTGCAGAATTTTCTGACTTATAGCATATGAAAGTAGTCATTGTTTCTCAAGCTTTTCTGGTGTTGTCTTGAATTTATTTTCCTTTGCATTAGCAAAGAAAAAATATTAGCTTTTCATTAGCTAGCTATTTGCGTTTAACCTGGTTGAGTTCTGTGCTACAAAATAGTGGCACATGTTCTGCTAAAAGTAAAAATAATTGATTTTCAACAAATGTTGGATAAGATGCTATATCTTATTTATAAAATCTGTTTTAGTTTTTGTAATGATGTTTGTCAACATCAGCTTAATTTTCAGACATTTCAAGCTAAAACAAAGCTAGCTGGTAGCTTTATGCTAGGCTAAAAGGAAGAGTAGATTGAAACTTTCTGGAAAATTTTTACATGAAAATAGAGAAAAGGTTTAATGATGATCAAACGTCCAGTAATGTCTTGTTGCCACAGTCCAGATGTTAGGTCTTCAAAGGTCTTCAAAGGTCTTCAAAGACCTAACATCCAGATGTTAGGTCTTCAAAAACCTAACATCTGTTTGAAATTCTGAAGGATGTGCAAACTTGTACTGGAGAAGAGTGGCGGATAGTCATACTCTGATAAATCTTCCTTCTAATGGTTTAGAATACCCACAATTATTTTATTTTATTTTTATTTATTTTTTTTTTTGAGAATTAAAGACTAGGGTTACCATGAGTCCTACAATGTGTTAACAGAGACGCACCCTGATGAAATCCACAT